GGGGGACAATGAAGGGGACACGGGGAGGACATGGATGGGAACATGGGGGGACAATGAAAGGGACATGGGGGGACAATGAAAGGGACACGGGGGAGGACATGGATGGGGACATGGGGGGACAATGAAGGCGACACGGGGAGGACATGGATGGGGACATGGGGGGACAATGAAGGGGACACGGGGAGGACATGGATGGGAACATGGGGGGACAATGAAAGGGACGTGGGGAGGACATGGATGGGGACATGGGGGGACAATGAAGGGGACACGGGGAGGACATGGATGGGGTCGTGTCAGGACACACGGGGGGGGACACGGGGGCGGTGCGGAGGGGCGGGCCCATCCCGGTGCGTGGCACCGGGGACAAAGGGCGCAGTGCGGCGGTGTCGCTGGTACCGGTGTCACCGGGGGGGGTCACGGACACGGGGTCCCAGGGAGGGGACAAGGGGCGGGGAGGGGGGGGGGGGTCCTCGTCGGGGGGTGGGGACACGGGGGGGGGCGCATAGGGGTCACGCTCCGTGTCCGGGGGGGGGTCCCGGACCCTCCCGCACCTCACCGGGGCCGGACGGGACGGGACGGGACCGGCACCGGCGCCGCTTCCCGGGGGAGGACGGGGACGGGATCCGGACCCATCGGGGACCCCCGGTGTCCCCCGTCCCGGTGTCCCCCCCGCGCAGTGCCCCATGGTTCACGTGTCCCCGGTGTCCCCGTATTCCCAGTGCCCCCGGGATGTCCCCATGGTCCCTGCTGCATAGCCCCGTGCGCCCCTTCCCCACGGTCCCCATAGTCCCCGTGTCCCATGATCCCTGTGTGCCTGTGGTCCCCATTGTCTCCGTGTCCCCATGATTTATCCCTATGTGCCTGTGGTCCCCATTGTCCCCGTGTCCCCATGATCCATCCCTATGTGCCTGTGGTCTCCATTGTCCCCGTGTCCCCATGATCCATCCCTATGTGCCTGTGGTCCCCATTGTCCCCGTGTCCCCATGATCCATCCCTGTGTGCCTGTGGTCCCCATTGTCCCCGTGTCCCCATGATCCATCCCTATGTGCCTGTGGTCCCCATTGTCCCCGTGTCCCCATGATTTATCCCTATGTGCCTGTGGTCCCCATTGTCCCCGTGTCCCATGATCCCTATGTGCCTGTGGTCCCCATTGTCCCCGTGTCCCCATGATCCATCCTATGTGCCTGTGGTCTCCATTGTCCCCGTGTCCCCATGATCCATCCCTATGTGCCTGTGGTCCCCATTGTCCCCGTGTCCCCATGATCCATCCCTATGTGCCTGTGGTCCCCATTGTCCCCGTGTCCCCATGATCCCTATGTGCCTGTGGTCCCCATTGTCCCCGTGTCCCCATGATCCATCCCTATGTGCCTGTGGTCCCCATTGTCCCCGTGTCCCCCATGATCCATCCTATGTGCCTGTGGTCCCCATTGTCCCCGTGTCCCCATGATCCATCCCTATGTGCCTGTGGTCCCCATTGTCCCCGTGTCCCCATGATCCCTATGTGCCTGTGGTCCCCATTGTCCCCGTGTCCCCATGATCCATCCCTATGTGCCTGTGGTCCCCATTGTCCCCGTGTCCCCATGATCCATCCCTATGTGCCTGTGGTCCCCATTGTCCCCGTGTCCCCATGATCCATCCCTATGTGCCTGTGGTCCCCATTGTCCCCGTGTCCCCATGATCCCTATGTGCCTGTGGTCCCCATTGTCCCCGTGTCCCCATGATCCCTATGTGCCTGTGGTCCCCATTGTCCCCGTGTCCCCATGATCCATCCCTATGTGCCTGTGGTCCCATTGTCCCCGTGTCCCCATGATCCCTATGTGCCTGTGGTCCCCATTGTCCCCGTGTCCCCATGATCCCTATGTGCCTGTGGTCCCCATTGTCCCCGTGTCCCCATGATCCCTATGTGCCTGTGGTCCCCATTGTCCCCGTGTCCCCATGATCCCTATGTGCCTGTGGTCCCCATTGTCCCCGTGTCCCCATGATCCCTATGTGCCTGTGGTCCCCATAGTCCCCGTGTCCCCATGATTTATCCCTATGTGCCTGTGGTCCCCATTGTCCCCGTGTCCCCATGATTTATCCCTATGTGCCTGTGGTCCCCATTGTCCCCGTGTCCCCATGATCCATCCCTATGTGCCTGTGGTCCCCATTGTCCCTGTGTCCCCATGATCCATCCCTATGTGCCTGTGGTCCCCATTGTCCCTGTGTCCCATGATCCATCCCTATGTGCCTGTGGTCCCCATAGTCCCTGTGTCCCCATGATCCCTGTGTGCCTGTGGTCCCCATTGTCCCCGTGTCCCCATGATCCATCCCTATGTGCCTGTGGTCCCCATTGTCCCTGTGTCCCCATGATCCCTATGTGCCTGTGGTCCCCATAGTCCCTGTGTCCCCATGATCCCTGTGTGCCTGTGGTCCCCATTGTCCCCGTGTCCCCATGATCCTATGCTCCCAACATCCTCTCATGCTGTCCCCATGTGCCCCTACCCCATGATCCTCACGTCCCCATAGCCCCTGTGATGTCCCCATAGCTCCTGTGTCCCCCTGATCCCTTTGTGTCCATGGTCCCCATGTCCCTGCATCATCCCCATGGCCCTGTATCCCCAAGTTCTCTTTGTCCCCACATGTCCCCTCCTCATGGTACCCGCTTCCCCATCGTGCCCTTCTCTGGGGTCCCGGTGTCCCTGTGATGTGCCCATGTCTGCAGAGTCCCTGTTCCCCAGTGTCCCCAATGTCCTGATGACCCCATAGGCCCTGTTCTCCCCTGTGCCCCTTTCCTGCAGTCCACATGGTCCCAATGTCCCCATGGTCCCATGTCCCCTGTGTTCTCATAGTCCCCATAGTCCCAGATCCCCCACAGATCCAAGGTCCCCATGTCCCGAATGTCACATGTTCCACTTGCCTGTGGTCCCTGGGTCTCCAAAGTCCTGATGACTCCCATGTCCCCATAGTCCCCAATGTCCCCATAGTCCCCAATGTCCCCATGGTCCCTAGTGTTCCTCCTATCCCTAATGCCTCCACAGTCCCCAATGTCCCCCTATACTCAATGTCCCCACAGTCCCCAATGTCCCCAATGTCCCCATGTCCCCAATGTCCCCACAGTCCCCAATGTCCCCCCAGTCCCCAATGTCCCCCTATACTCAATGTCCCCATAGTCCCCAATGTCCCCACAGTCCCCAATGTCCCCATAGTCCCCAATGTCCCCCTATACTCAATGTCCCCATAGTCCCCAATGTCCCCCTATACTCAATGTCCCCATAGTCCCCAATGTCCCCATAGTCCCCAATGTCCCCCTATACTCAATGTCCCCACAGTCCCCAATGTCCCCATAGTCCCCAATGTCCCCCTATACTCAATGTCCCCATAGTCCCCAATGTCCCCATAGTCCCCAATGTCCCCCCAGTCCCCAATGTCTCTGCAGCCCCCCCTGCTCCCCCCATCCCAAACGTCCCCACGGTGTCCCCGTGCCGGTGCCGGTGCCGGGGCTGTGGCGGTGCCAGCGCGGGGCTGAGGCGGTGGCGGGGCTGCTGCAGCAGAACGGAGCAGGACGGGAGCTGCGGGACCTCGACACGCGGGCACAGAGCTGCGGCCATGGGGGGACATGGGGGCACCATGGGGCACCGTGGGACATGGGGGCACTGTGGGACATGGGGGTATCATGGGGCACCGTGGGACATGGGGGCACTGTGGGACATGGGGGCACCATGGGGCACCGTGGGACATGGGGGCACTGTGGGACATGGGGGCACCATGGGGCACTGGGGGACATGGGGGCACCATGGGGCACCGTGGGACATGGGGGCACCATGGGGCACTGGGGGACATGGGAACACCATGGGGCACTGGGGGACATGGGGGCACTGTGGGACATGGGGGCACCATGGGGACAGAGGGACTGGGGGGCACTATGGGGACACTGTGGGACATGGGGGCACTGTGGGACATGGGGACTCCATGGGGGCACAGGGACTGGGGGGGCACTGTGGGACATGGGGACTGTGGGCTGCAGTAACATCAATGGGGTCTGCTTGGGGGGGCTGCAGTAACATCAATGGGGGCTGCAGTAACATCAATGGGGTCTGCTTGGGGGCCCTGCAGTAACATCAATGGGGTCTGCAGTAACATCAATGGGGGCTGCAGTAACATCAATAGGGGCTGCTTGGGGGGGCTGCAGTAACATCAATGGGGTCTGCTTGGGGGCCCTGCAGTAACATCAATGGGGTCTGCTTGGGGGCCCTGCAGTAACATCAATGGGGTCTGCAGTAACATCAATGGGGTCTGCTTTGGGGCCCTGCAGTAACATCAATGGGGTCTGCTTGGGGGGGGCTGCAGTAACATCAATGGGGTCTGCTTGGGGGGCTGCAGTAACATCAATGGGGTCTGCTTTGGGGCCCTGCAGTAACATCAATGGGGTCTGCTTGGGGGGGGCCCTGCAGTAACATCAATGGGGTCTGCAGTAACATCAATGGGGTCTGCTTGGGAGGGCTGCAGTAACATCAATGGGGTCTGCTTGTGGGGGTGCAGTAACATCAATGGGGTCTGCTTGGGGGGGTGCAGTAACATCAATGGGGTCTGCTTGGGGGCCCTGCAGTAACATCAATGGGGTCTGCTTGGGGGGGCTGCAGTAACATCAATGGGGTCTGCTTGGGGGGGCTGCAGTAACATCAATGGGGTCTGCTTGGGGGGGCCCTGCAGTAACATCAATGGGGTCTGCTTGGGGGGGTGCAGTAACATCAATGGGGTCTGCAGTAACATCAATGGGGTCTGCTTGGGGGGGTGCAGTAACATCAATGGGGTCTGCTTTGGGGCCCTGCAGTAACATCAATGGGGTCTGCTTGGGGGGGGGGGGGGGGCTGCAGTAACATCAATGGGGTCTGCAGTAACATCAATGGGGGCTGCTTAGGGGAGACCCCACAACAACAACTGCCCCCCCCCAATACCCAAGGCCCCCAGGGACCGCCCCCCAGCCCCATAGCACCCAATGCACCCCCGGAGCCCACAGGACCTTTATTGGCGCGGTGTGGGGCCGGGGCTCAGCCGGTTCCGCGGCGCTGCCGGAGCTCGGCCTGCACCCGCTGGCACAGGGCCCGGCGCAGGGGGGGCTCCAGGGGGCTCCGGGCGCAGACGCGCTGGGTGACGTCCTCTGCGCTGTCCCCCTGGGACACAGAGAGCCCCAGAGCACCCACTGAGCCCCAGAGCACCCAATGGGACCCACAGCACCCACTGAGCCCCAGAGCACCCAATGGGACCCACAGCACCCACTGAGACCCAGAGCACCCAATGGGACCCACAGCACCCACTGAGCCCCAGAGCACCCAATGGGACCCACAGCACCCACTGAGACCCAGAGCACCCAATGGGACCCACAGCACTCACTGAGACTCAGAGCACCCAATGGGACCCACAGCACCCACTGAGACCCAGAGCACCCAATGGGACCCACAGCACCCACTGAGACCCAGAGCACCCAATGGGACCCACAGCACCCACTGAGCCCCAGAGCACCCAATGGGACCCACAGCACCCACTGAGACCCAGAGCACCCAATGGGACCCACAGCACTCACTGAGACTCGGAGCACCCAATGGGACCCACAGCACTCACTGAGACCCACAGCACCCACTGAGCCCCAGAGCACCCAATGGGACCCACAGCACCCACTGAGCCCCAGAGCACCCAATGGGACCCACAGCACCCAATGTGACCCACAGCACTCACTTAGCCACAGAGCACCCAATGGGACCCACAGCACCCACTGAGCCCCAGAGCACCCAATGGGACCCACAGCACCCAATGGGACCCACAGCACCCAATGGGACCCACAGCACCCAACGGGACCCCATAGCACCCAGTGAGAACCAGAGCACCCAATGAGACCCACAGCACCCAATGGGACCCGTAGCACCCAATGAGCCCCACAGCACCCACTGAGACCCAGAGCACCCAATGGGACCCACAGCACCCACTGAGACCCAGAGCACCCAATGGGACCCACAGCACCCACTGAGCCCAGAGCACCCAATGGGACCCACAGCACCCACTGAGACCCAGAGCACCCAATTGGGACCCACAGCACTCACTGAGACTCGGAGCACCCAATGGGACCCACAGCACTCACTGAGACCCAGAGCACCCAATGGGACCCACAGCACCCAATGGGACCCACAGCACCCACTGAGCCCCAGAGCACCCAATGGGACCCACAGCACCCACTGAGCCCCAGAGCACCCAATGGGACCCACAGCACCCAATGTGACCCACAGCACTCACTTAGCCACAGAGCACCCAATGGGACCCACAGCACCCACTGAGCCCCAGAGCACCCAATGGGACCCACAGCACCCAATGGGACCCACAGCACCCAATGGGACCCACAGCACCCAACGGGACCCATAGCACCCAGTGAGAACCAGAGCACCCAATGAGACCCACAGCACCCAATGGGACCCGTAGCACCCAATGAGCCCCACAGCACCCACTGAGCCCCAGAGCACCCACTGGGACCCACAGCACCCACTGAGACCCACAGCACCCAATGAGACCCATAGAAACCCACAGTGTCCCATAGCACCCAATGAGACCCCCGGCACCCAATGAGACCCCCAGCACCCACTGAGCCCCACAGCACCCACAGCACCCCACAATACACACTGCCACTCATAACACCCACTGTGACCCACAGCAGCCACTAAACCCCACTGCACCCACTGTGACCCATAGCACCCATCCCAGGGCACCCAGCACCCATTGTGCCCCACACAGTCCCCCTGCCCCACAGACACCCCCACACTGGGTACCCCATTGCAGCACCCCCCCGATCCTACACCCCCTTGCACACAGCGGCCCCCCCCGCACCCATGGGTGCTCTGAGCTCCCCCGGGCCCCACCTGGTGCACGATGACGCTGGTGACGCTGCCGTCGTCCCCCTCGTACTCGAGGCAGAAAAGCCGCGGCCCGCGGGGGTCGGGGGGGGGCCCTGGGCTGGAGTCACCCCCGGGACCCCCTGCGGCACCCACGGCCTCAGCACCAACCCGGGGACGGGGGGGGGGGCACTGATCCCATGGGTGCCCCCATCCCCATCCCCCCATGGGTGCCCCCATGCCCCCAATTTGTGCATCCCCCATCGCCCCATGGGTTCCCCCCCAGCCCCATCCCCCATGGGTGCCCCTCCCATCCCCATCCCCCATGGGTGCCCCTATCACCACCATTGGTGCCCCCCCCATCCCCCCACTGGTGCCCCCCTATTCCCCATAGGTGCCCTCCATGGGTGCCCCCATCCCCCCCATTGGTGCCCCCCCCATGGGTGCTCCCATCCCCCCACTGGTGCCCCCTCATCCCCATCCCCCATCCCCCCATGGGTGCCCTCCATGAGTGCCCCCATCCCCCATTGGTGCCCCCCCATCCCCCAGGGGTACCCCCCATGGGTGCTCCCATCCCCTCCATTGGTGCCCCCCCCATGGGTGCTCTCATCCCCCCCATTGGTGGCCCCCCATCCCCCCATGGGTGCCCCCCCCCCCATTGGTGCCTCTCCCATCCCCATCCCTCCATGGGTGCCCCCATGCCCCCATTTGCACCTCCCCCCATCCCCCATGGGTGCCCTCCATGGGTGCCCCTATTCACACCATTGGTGCCCCCCCCCCATCCCCCATGGGTGCCCCCCCATCCCCATCCCCCATGGGTACCCCCCATGGGTGCCCCCATCCCCCCCATTGGTGCCCTCCCCATGGGTGCTCCCATCCCCCCATGGTGTCCCCCCATCCCCCCAGGTGCCCCTCTCCCCCATGGTGCCTCCCTCATCCCCATCCCCATCCCCCCTATTGGTGCCTCCCCCATCCCCCACGGGTGCCTCTCCCATCCCCATCCCCCATGGGTGCCCCCATGCCCCCCATTTGCGCCTCCCCCATCCCCCATGGGTGCCCCCCATTCCCACTGCCCCCCATGGGTGCCCCCATCCCCCCCATTGGTGCCCCCCCATCCCCATCCCCCATGGGTACCCCCCATGAGTGCTCCCATCCCCCCCCATTAGTGCCGCCCCCATCCCCCATGGGTGCCCCCAACCCCCATTAGTGCCCCCCCATCCCCCCATGGGTGCTCCCATCCCCCCATTAGTGCTCCCCCATCCCCCCATGAGTGCTCCCATCCCCCCCCATTAGTGCCCCCCCCATGTCCCCATGGGTGCCCCCATCCCCCCCATTAGTGCCCCCCCATCCCCCCATGGGTGCTCCCATCCCCCCCATTAGTGCCCCCCCATCCCCCCATGGGTGCTCCCATCCCCCCCATTAGTGCCCCCCCATCCCCCCATTGGTGCCCCCCCATCCCTTCATGGGTGCTCCCATCCCCCCTTGGTGCCCCCCCCATCCGCTCTCACCGCTCCGCCGGGGCCTGTACACGGGCTGGTCGGGCCGGCGGGGCCGGGGGGGGGTCACCGGGAGCCGGGCACGGCCCCGCGCCTGCCTCAGCGCCCTCTCGTACGCGTCCCTGTCGTGACCCACGCGATATCGCGACACCCGCCACGGAGTTGGGGGGCACCGGGACCGCGGGGGGGGGGGGGGTGCCGGTACCTGGCGAGCTGGTTGCGGCGGATGTGCCGCACGAAGCCGTGGCTCATGTCGAGCCGCCCCCCGGCCGGTAGCGCCAACCCGCGGCCGCCTCCATCGCCACCGGGACCGGGGCGGCGGGAGCGGGACGCGGCCCCTTTAAGAGCCCGCCCGGTACCGGGGCGCGGGCCCTTTAACAGCGACGGTGACGGGAAACGCGCATGCGCCGTGGTGCCGCCGCCGCGCCGCCCGGTGGGGCGGAAGCGCATGCGCAGTAGCACTGCCGCCGCCATGTCGAGCCGAGGGAAGCGGGAGCGGCGGGGCCCGGGCTCCGGTTCCGGCTCCGGTTCCGGTTCCTCCCGGAGCCGCCGGGACGCGGACGCGGAGCGGGGCCGGAGCCGGCGGGAGGCGGAGCGGGAGCGCGGCCGGCGGGAGGCGGCGGAACCGGGCCTCGACCTCCCCTCGGATCCCGCCCGGCCCAAGCGGGAAGCGGGGCCCGGTGCCAGCGGCCTAGCGCGGGGCAAGCGGGAGCGGGAGCCCGACGGAGACTCCGAGCCCGAGCCGGAGCCCACGGGTGCGGAGCGGGAGCGGGCCCGGGCCCCGCCGTCGCCGGTGGCGCTGCCGTCCCGTTAAGCCCCTTCCCTTCGTTCCCCGCAGTGCGCTATGGCCATATGGCCGCTTCGACCCCGAGGACCAGCGCAGCCGGCACTGCCCCTACCTGGACACCATCAATAAGTGAGCGGGGGGGGGGGGTTTGGGGTGCCCCCCCCTCCCGGTGTGTGCCCCCCTCCCCCCCCCGGTGTGTGCCCCCCCATTGAGCTCGTTCCCCCCCCCCCCCAGGAGCGTGCTGGACTTCGACTTCGAGAAGCTCTGCTCCATCTCCCTGTCCCACATCAATGTGTACGCGTGCCTCGTGTGCGGGAAGTACTTCCAGGGTGAGCGGGGCAGCGGGAGGGGGAAGCACGGGGAATGGGGGGGCAAGGGGGGGGCACCGGGAAGGGGAGAGCAGCGGTGATGGCGTGAGGATGGGGGGTGCTGGGGATGGGGGGGGTGGGACACCGGGCAAGGGGGCATGGGGATGGGAGGGTAGCAGGAGTGGGGGGGGCACAGGGAATGGGGGGGGGCATGGGGGACACCCATGGGGTGGGGGGTTCAGGGGGGCACCCATGGGCGGGGGTGCTTGGGGGGGAACAAAGCGCACACCCTATGGGGTGGGGGGCTCACAGGGGACACCCATGGGTGGGGGTGCTCAGGGGGGCACAGGGCACCCTCATGGACTGCGGTGTTCAGGGGGGAGCAAAGGGCACCCCCATGGGGTGGGGTGCTCGGGGGGGCACAGGGGACCCCCATGGGTGGAAGTGCTCTGGGGGGGGCACAGGGAACCCCCATGGGCTGGGGTGTTCAGGGGGGAGCAAAGGGGACCCCCATGGGGTGGGGGGGCACAGGGGACCCCTATAGGCTGGGGTGCTCAGGGGGGGCACAGGGGACCCCTATGGGCTGGGGTGCTCAAGGGGGGCACAGGGGACCCCTCATAGGGTAGGGGGGCACAGGGGACCCCTATGGGCTGGGGTATTCATGGGGGACCAAAGGGGACCCCCATGGGCTGGAGTGCTCAGGGGGGCACAGGGGACTCCTATGGGCTGGGGGGGCACAGGGGACCCCTATAGGCGGGTTACTTGGGTAGGGGCATAGGGGACCCCCATGGGCTGTGCTGCTGCCCACATGAGACATGGGGGACCCCCAAGCCCCAAGGAGCTGCCCAGGCCACACGTGGGGCACTGCAGGGACCCTCAGGGTGGGCAGATACTGGTGTTGTGTCCCCGTCCCCCCCCCTCCTCCATGTCCTGATGCCGGTTCCCCCCCCCTCTCCCCGGTGTCCCCGCAGGCCGGGGGCTGCGCTCTCACGCCTACATCCACAGCGTGCAGCTGAGCCACCACGTGTTCCTCAACCTGCACACGCTCAAGTTCTACTGCCTGCCCGACAACTACGAGATCCTGGACTCCTCGCTGGAGGACATCACGGTGCCAGGGCCTGGGGGGGGCACAGCGGGGCTCAGCGCCGTATCCCCTCCGGTCCTGACGCCCGCTTCCCCCGCAGTACGTGCTCAAGCCCACCTTCACCGCCCAGCACATCGCCAGCCTGGACAAGCAGGCCAAGCTCTCCCGCGCCTACGATGGCACCACGTACCTGCCGGGCATCGTGGGGCTCAACAACATCAAGGCCAATGACTACGCCAACGCTGTCCTGCAGGTGAGACACACACACACACCCCCCCCAAAACTGCCCCCAGGACCTGCTGTGGGGCTGGTCGATCCATCCTGGCTCCTCTGTGGGGCTGGTCGATCCATCCTGGCTCCTCTGTGGGGCTGGTCGATCCATCCTGGCTCCTCTGTGGGGCTGGTCGATCCATCCTGGCTCCTCTGTGGGGCTGGTCGATCCATCCTGGCTCCTCTGTGGGGCTGGTCGATCCATCCTGGCTCCTCTGTGGGGCTGGTCGATCCATCCTGGCTCCTCTGTGGGGCTGGTCGATCCATCCTGGCTCCTTTGTGGGGCTGGTCGATCCATCCTGGCTCCTCTGTGGGGCTGGTCGATCCATCCCGGCTCCTCTGTGGGGTTGGTGGCTCCATCCTGATCCCTCTATGGGGTTGGTGGCTCCATCCCTATTTCTCTATGGGGTTGGTGCCTCCATCTCAGCTCCTCTATGGGGTTGGTGGCTCCATCCCTATTTCTCTCGGGGGTTGGTGGCTCCATCCTGGCTCCTCTCTGGGGTTGATGGCTCCATCCCAGCTCCTCTCCGGGGTTGCTGGCTCCATCCCCATTTCTCTCCGGGGTTGCTGGCTCCATCCCAGCTCCTCTCCGGGGTTGCTGGCTCCATCCCAGCTCCTCTCCGGGGTTGCTGGCTCCATCCCTCCTCTCCCCTAGGCGTTATCCAACGTGCCGCCGCTGCGGAACTACTTCCTGGAGGAGGAGAACTACCGAGCATCCAGCGCCCGCCCGGGGACATCATGTTCCTGCTGGTGCAGCGCTTCGGGGAGCTCATGCGGAAGCTCTGGAACCCCCGGAACTTCAAGGCCCACGTCTCGCCCCACGAGATGCTGCAGGCCGTGGTGCTGTGCAGCAAGAAGAGCTTCCAGATCACCAAGCAGGGTGGGGTGGAGTTGGGGACCCTGGGATGGGGATGAGGATGTTGGGATGGGGGCATCAGAATGGGGCTGGGGGCGTTGGGTTGGGGATGTTGGGATGGGGTTGGGGATGTTGGGCTGGGGACATTGGGATGGGGATGAGGATGTTGGGATGGGGGCATCAGAATGGGGTTGGGGGCATTGGGTTGGGGATTTCGAAATGGGGTTGGGGATGTTGGGCTGGGGACTTTGGGATGGTATTGAGGATCCTGGGATGGGGATGAGGGTGCTGGGATGGGGGCATTGGGGTGGTGTTGGGGACACTGGGAGGGGTTGAGGATGTTGGGATGGGGGCATCAGAATGGGGCTGGGGATGTTGGGTTGGGGATGTTAGGATGGGGACATTGGGTTGGGGTTGAGGATCCTGGCATGGGGTTGGGGGCATTGATTTGAGGATGTTGAGATGGAGCTGGGGACACTGGGATGGGGATGAGGATGTTGGGATGGGGGCATCAGAATGGGGTCGGGGGCGTTGGACTGGGGCTGGGGACATGGGGCACTGGGGTGGGGTTGGGGTGCTGGGCTGTGGACCCTGATCCCCCGGTGGCGCAGGGGATGGGGTGGATTTCCTGTCCTGGTTCCTGAACGCACTGCACTCGGCGCTGGGCGGCACCAAGAGGAAGAAGAAAAGTGAGTGGAGAGCAATGGGGTCCCTTGGGCCCCCCCGTGACCCCCGTGTCCCCCCCCGTGTCCCCTTCATGTCCCCACATCCCCCCGTGTCCCCCCCCGTGTCCCCTTCATGTCCCCACATCCCCCCGTGTCCCCGCAGCCATCGTCACCGACGTGTTCCAGGGCTCCATGCGCATCTTCACCAAGAAGCTGCCTCACCCGGACCTGGTGAGGCCATGGGGGGCTCTGGGGGGGGCTGACCCCACGCCGGGTGCTCTCCAAGGGTGGGTGCTGACCCCACGGCGGGTGCTGACCCCACGGCGGGTGCTGACCCCACGATGGGTGCTCTCCCATGGCGGGTGCTGACCCTGTGGTGGGTGCTCTCCTGTGCTGGGTGCTGACCCCACAGTGGGTGCTGACCCCACGATGGGTGCTGACCCCACGATGGGTGCTCTCCCGTGGTGGGTGCTGACCCCATGGTGGGTGCTCTCCTGTGCTGGGTGCTGACCCCACAGTGGGTGCTCTCCCATGGCGGGTGCTGACCCCACGGTGGGTGCTCTCCCATGGTGGGTGCTGACCCCACACCGGGTGCTGACCCTGTGATGGGTGCTCTCCTATGCTGGGTGCTGACCCCACGCTGGGTGCTCTCCCACGGCGGGTGCTGACCCCACGATGGGTGCTCTCCCAGTGGTGGGTGCTGACCCCACAGTGGGTGCTCTCCAATGGTGGGTGCTGACCCCGTGGTGGGTGCTCTCCCACACTGGGTGCTGACCCCATGATGGGTGCTCACCCCTTGGTGGGTGCTGACCCCACGGCGGGTGCTGACCCCGTGGTGGGTGCTCTCCCACGGCGGGTGCTGACCCCACGGCGGGTGCTGACCCCGCAGCCGGCCGAGGAGAAGGCGGCGCTGCTGCACAAGGCCGAGTACCAGGAGCTGATGGTGGAGTCCACGTTCATGTACCTGACCCTGGACCTGCCCACGGCGCCGCTCTACAAGGACGAGAAGGAGCAGCTCATCATCCCCCAGGTGCCCCTCTTCAGCATCCTGGCCAAGTTCAACGGCGCCACCGAGAAGGAGTACAAGACCTACAAGGAGAACTTCCTGAAGCGCTTCCAGCTCACGCGCCTGCCCCCGTACCTCATCTTCTGCATCAAGCGCTTCACCAAGAACAACTTCTTCGTGGAGAAGAACCCCACCATCGTCAACTTCCCCATCACGTGAGGCCGGGGGCTTGGCAGCGGCCTAAAGGGGGGCTTGGGAGGGGCTGAAGTGGGGTTGGGAGAGTCTGAAGGGGGTTTGGGAGCATCTAAATGGGTTTGGGAGCATCTCAGGGGGGTTTGGAACATCTAAAGGGGGCTTGGGAACATCTAAAAGGGTTTGGGAGTGTCTGAATGGGATTTGGGAGCGTCTGAAGGGGGTTTGGGAGCATCTAAAGGGGGCTTGGGAGCATCTAAATGGGTTTGGGAGCATCTAAAGGGGGCTTGGGAACATCTAAAAGGGTTTGGGAGTGTCTGAATGGGATTTGGGAGCGTCTGAAGGGGGTTTGGGAGCATCTAAAGGGGGCTTGGGAGTGGCTAAGTGGGGTTGGGAGCATCTCAAGGGGGTGGGAGCAGCTAAAGGGGCTTGGGAGCATCTAAAGTGTGCAGTGGGTGCTGTGTGGGTGCTCTGGGTGCTGTGGGTGTGCTATGGGCACTGTGCGGGTGCTCTGGGTGCTGTGTGCGCACTATGGGTGCTGTGTGGGTGCTGTGCGGGGTGCTCTGGGTGCTGTGTGCGCACTATGGGTGCTATGTGGGTGCTCTGGGTGCTGTGTGCGCTATGGGTGCTGTGTGCGCACTGTGGGTGCTGTGCGAGTGCTCTGGGTGCTGTGCGGGTGCTCTGGGTGCTGTGCGGGTGCTATGGGCGCTGTGCGGGTGCTCTGGGCGCTAAGCGAGTCCTCTGGGTGCTGTGTGCACTATGGGTGCTGTGCGGGTGCTCTGGGCGCTGTGCGGGTGCTCTGGGCGCTGTGCGGGTGCTCTGGGTGCTGTGTGTGTTGTGGGTGCTCTGGGTGCTGTGCGGGTGCTCTGGGTGCTGTGGCGGGCGCTCTGGGTGCTGTGCGGGCGCTCTGGGTGCTGTGTGTGTTGTGGATGCTCTGGGTGCTGTGTGGGTGCTCTGGGTGCTGTGTGGGTGCTGTGCGGGTGCTGTGTGTGCTGTGTGTGCTCTGGGTGCTGTGTGTGTTGTGGATGCTCTGGGTGCTGTGTGGGTGCTCTGGGTGCTGTGTGGGTGCTGTGCGGGTGCTGTGTGTGCTGTGTGTGCTCTGGGTGCTGTGTGTGTTGTGGATGCTCTGGGTGCTGTGTGGGTGCTCTGGGTGCTGTGGGTGCTCTGGGTGCTGTGTGTGTTGTGGGTGCTCTGGGTGCTCTGGGTGCTGTGCGGTGCTCTGGGTGCTGTGTGTGTTGTGGGTGCTCTGGGTGCTGTGGGTGCTCTGGGTGCTGTGTGTGTTGTGGGTGCTGTGGGTGCTCTGGGTGCTGTGTGGGTGCTGTGTGGGTGCTGTATGGGTGCTGTGTGGGTGCTGTGCGGGTGCTCTGGGTGCCTCTGGGCGCCGCGGGCACTGACGGGGCGCGGGGGCAGGAACGTGGACCTGCGCGAGTACCTGTCGGAGGAGGTGCAGTCCGCGCACCCCAACACCACCTACGACCTGGTCGCCAACATCGTGCACGACGGGAAGCCCACGGAGGGCTCCTACCGCATCCACGTCCTGCACCACGTCAGTGCCCACCGGGGGGGGGGACCCGGGGCACTGCCCCCTAGCACCCACTGACCCCCCCTTTGTGCCCCCCCCCCAATGCAGGGCACCGGGAAGTGGTACGAGCTGCAGGACCTGCAGGTCACCGACATCCTGCCCCAGATGATCACGCTCTCGGAGGCCTACATCCAGGTGGGACCATTATGGGGTGGGGGGGTCCTGGGGGGCCGTGTCGCCCCCTGACTGACCCCTCGTCCCCACCTGATCCCCCTCTGCTCTGCTGCAGATCTGGAAGCGGCGTGAAGAGGATGAGACCAACCAACAGGGAGCCTGAGCCCCCATGGACACCCAGAGGAAGACCACCTGGGGACACCCAGGACCCCCCCTTGGGGTCATCCAGAGGAAGACCCCCTTGGGGATACCCAGAACCCCCCTGGGGACACCCAGAACCCCCCCTTGGGGTCATCCAGAACCCCCTTGGGGACTCCCCCCCCCATTAAATGCCTCCCCCTGTATTTTTGTAACCAGTTTCCATCTTCTCTTCATTGGGGTTGCCTGGGGGGGTTGGGGGGTGGTTGTGGTTTATGCGGTTTGTGGGAGGTGCCCTCGCCCCCGTTGTCACCCCAAAGACCCACACGTGGGGGCCACCGAGGCCGGGCGATGCGGAAGCTTTATTGCGGTGCCGGGGGGGGGCTCCGGGTGTCCCCTAGAGCCAGACGTGCTCCTGGCAGTGCTGCAGGGCCTGTGGGGAGCAGGGGGTGATGGGGGCACAGAACCCCCCCCACTCCCTCCCCTCCCCGTCCCTTTCCCCCCCCCCTCACCTGGCAGCGCTGCGCGGCCGTGGGGCTGGAGCACCAATAAGTGGGGCCCAGGACACAGGGACCCGGCTTCGGGGGCAGCTCCAGGAGGGGGGGGACCGGGACCAGGTCCTGCTGGAGGTGGAGGTGGGGGGGGACGGGACGGGGACCGGGCACGGGGGTCAGGCCCGTCCCCATGGGTGCATCCCCCCCCCCATCGGGGTGTCCCCGCGCTCCGCGCGCGCGTTCCCGCGCTCACCGCGTCAGTTCCCGCCTCGGGGGCGCGCGTTTCCCGCGGCGTTGGCGCCTCCTGGCGGCAGCCGAGCAGCGCGCGGCAGAGCAGCGCGGGCCCCAGGCGCGCGAGGGCGCGCTCCAGCGCGAGGGCTGCGTAGCGCTGCGCCAGGCACTGGCACGCGCCCGCCGCCGCCAGCGGGAGCGCGCGGCACAGCGCGGACACGGCCTCGGCCACGCGCTCCCGCGGCACCGCCGCCTCCAGGCGCGCCACCAGCGAGCGGCAGAGCCAGCACCGAGGCACCGGCAGCGACCCCTGACGGAGCACCCGCGCCCACCCGTCAGCACCCACACACCCGCACCCACACCCCAGCACCCACACACCCGCACCTACCCACCTCCACCCACCCATCAGCACCCACACACCCGCACCCACCCGTCAGCACCCACACACCCCGCACCTACCCACCTCCACCCACCCATCAACACCCACACCCCAGCACCCACCCGTCAGCACCCACCCGTCAGCACCCATCCACCTGCACCCACCCGTCAGCACCCACATACCCACACTCACACAACCGCACCCACACACCTGCACCCACCCACCTGCACCCACCCATCGGCACCCACCCACCTGCACCCACCGGTACCCACACACCCACTCCCACCCGCACCCATCAGCACCCACCGGCACCCCCGTGACACCCCCGGTACCTGCGGGCGGTTCTGCAGCGCCCCCAGCAGGGGCCAGGGCCGGCCCCCCCCCGCCGGCCCCGGGCACAGCTCCAGGCGGGCGCACACGGGCCGAGGGCTTCTGGTGGGGGGGGCAGAGAGTGAGCCCCCCGCACCCCGAGGTGCCCCCATTGCCCCGCAGCACCCATGGGTGGCACTCACGAGGCGCCCTCGATGTCGGTGAGGAGCAGGCTCCAGTACTGGTGCACCAGCTCCTGGCACGGCGGCACCATGGCGGGTACCGGCAGCGCCGCGCACTCGTGCCACAGGAACCCCTCCACCGCAGCCTGTGCCACGACACCGGAGCGTCACCGCCATGGGCACCGCCATGGGCGCCATGGTACCACCATGAGCACCGTGACACCACTGTGGCCACCGCTGGCACCGTGACACCGCCATGGGCACCATGACACCACCATGGGCACCATGACACTGCCATGGGCACCATGACACCACTATGGCCACCGCTGGCACCGTGACACCGCCATGGGCACCATGACACCACCATGGGAACCATGACACCACTATGGCCACCGCTATGGGCACCATGACACCACCATGGGCACCATGACACCACTATGGCCACCACTATGGGCACCGTGACACCGCCATGGGCACCATCATGGGCACCGTGGCACCACCATGGGCACTGCTGTGGGCACCATCACACCACCACGGGCACCATGGCACTGCCATGGGCACTGTGACGCTACCATGGACAACACCATGGGCACCGTGACACCACCATGGGCACCATGGCACCACCAGGGCACCATGGCACTGCCATGGGCATTGTGACGCTACCATGGGCACCACTATGAGCACCGCGACACCACCATGGGCACCACCATGGGCACTGCGACACCACCATGGGGACCCCTATGGGCACTGCCATGGGCACTGCCATGGGCACTGTGGCACCACTATGGACACCACCATGGGCACCATGGCACCGCCATGGGCACTGTTGGCAACCTTATGGCCCCCCCCCCGTGTCCCCATGGGCACCTTGGTGACTCGTTGGCCATGCGGATGAGGAGGGCGATGACCTGCTGGCAGCTGGCACACATGTCCTGTGGGGAGAGCGGGGTGGCGGCGCGTGGGGCGGGGGACATGGAATGGGGATGGGGGGTGTGGGGATGGGGACGTGGGACATGGGGACATGGAGTTGGGACAGGGGGATATGGAGTTAGGATGTGGGGACATGGAGAGGGGACATGGAGATATGGGATATGGGACATGGGGTATGGGGGCATGGGATACGGGACACAGGGATATGGGACATGGAGATATGGGGTATGTGGGGACAGAATGGTGTGTGGGGCCATGCTTGGGGACATGGGGCAGGGGCTGTGGGGACACAGGGGGTCATGGGGATGATGGGTTCATGGGGACCTGGGAATCTGTGGGGACACAGGTGCTGTGCTAGGTGCTGTGGGTGCTGTTTGGGTGCTGTGGATGCTGTTGGATGCTATTTGGGTGCTGTGGGTGCTATTTTGGGTGCTGTGGGTGCTGTTTGGGTGCTGTGGGTGCTGTTTGGGTGCTGTTTGGGTGCTGTTTGGGTGCTATTTGGGTGCTGTGGGTGCTATTTGGGTGCTGTGGGTGCTGTTTGGGTGCTGTGGATGCTGTTTGGGTGCTGTGGGTGCTGTTTGGGTGCTGTGGGTGCTCCTGGTTCTCACCGTGCCGGGGGGGTCCCAGTCGTGGCAGCTCAGCTCCGTGTCCCCGGTCTGGCACGGGTTGGGGGGGCACCCCATAGACCACCCCAAACCCTGCGGCCACCGTCAGACCCACACCGGGACCCCCAGCACCCCCAACACCCTCCGAACACCCCCAATCCTCCCAACACCCCCAATGCCCCCCAGCACCCCCAATACCCCCAACACCTCCCAACACCTCCAATGCCCCCCCACACTCCCAACACCCCCAGAACCCCCAACACCCCCAACATCTCCCAACACCCCCAACACCTCCCAACACCCCCAATACCCCCCAACACCCCCAATGCCCCCAACACCCCCAACACCCCCAGCACCCCCAACACCTCCCCAGCCCAAGACCCCAAACGGGACCCAGACTCCGGCCCCCCATATCCAACCCCCCCCCCCCCCACCTGCGGCTGCGCAGAGCAGCGCCAGCAGCGCCGGTGGCCGGGGCTCGCCCCATGGCCGTGCCCGAGCCGGGAACCGCCGCCTCTTATAGGGATGGGGGCAGCGGGGGGGCAGGGGGCGGGATAGGATAGGGGGATGGGGGGTAGAGATAGGATAGGGGGGTGTGGAGGTATGGGGACAGGGGGATAGGGGGATAGGGGGATAGGGGGATGTGGGGACATGGGGATGTGGGATATGGGGATAGGGGGGATACGGGGATAGGGGGATGTGGGGATAGGGGGGATGTGGGGATAGGGGGATATGGGGATAGGGGGGATGTGGGATAGGGGGATGTGGGGATAGGGGGATATGGGGATAGGGGGATATGGGGATAGGGGGATAGGGGGGATATGGGGATAGGGGGGATGTGGGGATAGGGGGGATATGGGGATAGGGGATAGGGGGGATATGGGGATAGGGGGATGTGGGGATAGGGGGGATGTGGGGATAGGGGGGATGTGGGGATGGGGGGATGGGGGGATATGGGGATAGGGGGATATGGGGATAGGGGGATGTGGGGATGTAGGGATAAGGGGATAGGGGAGATATGGGACATGGGGATAGAGGGATATGGGGATAGGGGGGATGTGAGGATGTGGGAATAGGGCGGATATGGGATAGGAGGATAGGGGGGTATGGGGGTATGGGGATAGGGGGATAGAGGGATGCGGGCATATGGGGATAAGGGACATGAGGATAGGGGGATATGAGGGTATGGGAATAGGGAGATACAGGACATGGGGATAGAGGGATATGGGGATAGGGGGGATGTGGGGATATGGGACATGGGGTTGGGGATATGCGGATAGGGGCATAGGCGGATATAGGTTATGGGGACATGGGGATATGGGAATAGGGGGGCATGAAGGTATGGGGCTACGGGCTATGGGGCTATTGGGCTATGGAGCTATGGGGCTACAGGGCTACGGGGCTATGGGGCTATAGGCTATGGGGCTATGGGGCTATGGGGCTATGGGGCTACAGGGCTATGGGGCTATGGGGCTACAGGGCTATGGGGTTTATGGGGCCTACAGGGCTATGGAGCTATGGGGCCTATGGGTCTATGA